GTGGCAGACGGTGAAGAGGAAGGCGGCGATCTGCAGCGACTGTAGGTGGGTTTTGGGGGGGGGGAATGGGGGTCAGGACGCCCACGCGTGTGGGGCCGGGGCCGCCTGCATCCCCACGTAGCTGTGGGGCAGGCTGGCTCCCCAAACTGCTGTTATCTTGCTATTACCATGTTATTACCACGTTATTAACATGTTATTAACACTTATTACACTGCTATTGCCCTGCTATTATGATGCTATTACAATGTAATTAACACTTATTACCCTGTCGTTAATATGCTATTACACTGTTATTAGCCTGCTAGTAACATGCAATTACCACATTACTAACGTGCCATTACAACGTTATTAGCACGTTGTCACCATGCCATTACAACTGCTTCGTTAGTCTTACCCAGGCCACCTAAACTGTGCCACGCTACTCTTAATTACGATATAATTACCACGTTATTACACTGCTCTTGCCATGTAATTACCAGGTCGTCACCTCACTGTTGCCACGTAATTGCTGTGTTATTGCTCCTCTATTACCACATAAGTACTGTTATGAGCACTCATTACCATGTTATTACAATGTAACTACAATGTAATTAGCATGTAGTTACTGCTATTATGCTCTATTACAATGCAATTACACTATAATCAGCATGTAGTTACTGTCATTACACTCTATTGCAATGTAATTACTATGTAATTACTGCTATTGCTACTCTATTACCATGTTATTACAATGTAATAACTGCTATTACCATTCTATTACAATGTAATTACCATGTAATTGCTATCTAATTACTATTATTTTCCTGCTAATACCATGTAATTACCATGTAGCTACTGTTATTACACTCTATTACTGTGTAGTTACAATGTAATTACTTGTATGGCCACTCTGTGTATTTACCATGTACTTACTCTGTTATTACCGCTCTATTACATGTAATTATCATGTAGCTACTATTACCATGTAATTACCATATTGGCATTACTATATGATTACCATGTTATTACTACTCTATTACCATGTAATTACCATGCAGTTACCGTGTTGCTATTAGGCTATTACAATGTAATTAACATGCAATTACACTGTTATTACCACTCTATTACAATGTAATTACACTGCTGCTAGCCTGTTGTTACCCGGCTATTACAATGTAATTACCACGCAATTACCGTGCTGTTACCACCCTATTCCCACGCAATTACCACGCCACCACCGCGGCCCTGCTGCCCCACCTGCATCTCGACGTAGGTGTGGGGCAGGCTGTACTCGGGCGGCAGCTTGCGGTCGTTGTTGATGAGGTGGTCGAGGACGGAGGGGCTGAGGATGGGCTGTTGACGAGGCAGGTTAACGAGCGGTGCGGGGGGGGACGCTAACGAAGGGAGGGGGCTAACGAAGGTGGGCTAACCTGGGTGTCGAGGAAGACCACCCGCTCCTGGGTGATGAAGAAGTCGATGCCGCA